ACAAAAAAAAAAAAAAAAACAAAAAAACAAAAAACCCCTCTCAACCCCCCCATTAAAAAAACACTGTAGTTCATTGATGTGTTGAACATTATTACGTCTAAAGAATAATTATTGTTGGGACCCCTGGTGCACGACCCCCCCGCCGCGCCTAGGCCGCAGCCTCATTTTCATCATTTTCGTGAGGAAGTCTCAGGCAAAACGGGTTGGTCCGGATCCGGTTGTGTTGTTACGATCGGTTTTCCCTTGCAAAAAAAAGCTAAAGTGGACATTTCTTGTTCTAACATAACCAAACTTCAAGAATCCCTTGCAAAAAATAAGGTAAAGTGGACATTCGCGCGCGCAAGACGAAATCCTTCCAAAACCTGAGTGTTCGTAACGATTTTAACATAAAAAACATCAAAAAAACAATGGTTTTTCAAAAAAAAAATGTCAAACATTCATCCCGCGCGCTCTTGCGGATTTGTAGGAAACCCAACACTTTTTAAACATTTCTGTCAAACGGGTTTTTGCGAGCAACTTTTTCGAACTTCTGCAACAACGGTTGCGCACCTGCCAGGGCCATCATTCCTGTCAAATAATACCATGCGGGACACATTCGTTTTTTCTTCGCGCGCGCACGCCGTCGTCGTCGGCCGCGGGGCCCTGAATAGTAGCCACGGTCGTCCGCATGCCACGAAGTGAAGTGTCCGAACGTCATAGGCGGGAAGCTGGGTGTGGGTGGTGGCGAAGAGTCGTTTGGAAATTTGGTAGAGCTTGAACCGGCCCCCCCACAAAGTGGGGGTATTGCCCGCCTCCTATGAAAACCCTGGCACTGGTGAGAACGGAGTGTCCCCACGTGCTAGTAATTGTTGTTGTTGTTGTTGTTGTTGTTGTTGTTGGTGGTGTGTGTGTGTGTGTGTTTCGCCTCGTCACTGCGCGCGAGGCCGCAATCGCCAAAAAGAGTGTGTGCGTGTGTGTGTGTGTGCGCGCACGTGTTTGTGAGTGTGTGTGTGTGCGCGCGTGTGTGTTTGTGTGTGTTGTGTGTGTGTGTGTGTGTCTGTGCCTGTGACTGTGTCTGTGCCTGTGTCTGTGTCTGCCTTTGTATGTGTCCTTTGTCTGTGTCTGCGTGCGTGCGTGCGTGCGTGTGTGTTTGTGTGTGGGTGTGTTCGTGCGTGTGTGGTGGTGTGTCCTCGTTCCGCCAGCGCGGTCACTCTGCCTAGCCGCCGACGCCAAAATGTTGTGGTGCGTGCGTGTGCGTCCAGGAAGCGGGCAAGGAGGGAATGCGACGAGAGCGAGAGGGACGAGCAAGACGAGTGTGCTCACGCCTCTTATGACATCCCCCGCCTCCTCCCTTTCCAATACATTTCCCTCCTCCTCCTCCTCCTCCTCCTCCTCCTCCTCCTCATCATCATCATCATCATCCTCCTCTCCTTTCCCATCCCCCTACTCCCCCTATCCCTTCCCACCTCATCCTCCCCTTCCACCTCCTCATATCCCAACTCTCCCCGTTCCCTCCTTCCCCCTACGTCTCCGCCCTCTGCCTCCCCATCCGCTTTCCCCTCCTCCTCCTCCTCCTCCTCCTCCTCGTCCTCCTCGTCCTCCTCGTCCTCCTCGTCCTCCTCGTCCTCCTCCTCCTCCTCCTCCTCCTCACCACCACCACCACCTCCTCCTCCTCCTCTACCGCCACCCGCCCGTCGTGATCCTCCTCGTCCTCCTCCTCCTTCTCCTCCTCCTCTTCCCACGAAGCGCGAGAGCGCTCTGCAAACTACGTGTCGGGGAAAGCCCACCAGCGCGTGCCCGTATTACTCCGCTGTCATGTTGCACGGTTTGTTACGCCAGGTTGGCGAGGGGAGGAAGATGCTCGCATTGCGCCGAAGAGGTGCGAGGGAGGAGATGAAGAGGAGGACGAGGAGAAGTGGAGTGAGAGAGTGGAGAGGAGGGGGAAAAAGGCGATACACACATATTTGTTAATATATATATAGAGAGAGAAACAAAAAAAAGATAGGAGAGTTAGAGAGAGAGAGAGAGAAAGAGGGAGAGAGAGAGAGAGAAAGAGAGAGCGAGAGATCAGGAGATGGGGAACAGTGCCGACAGAGTGTGCGACCAGTTACTGCCCTCAGCGCACTGTCACAGTACCAGGTCGTCCCGGCGCAGGCATCACTGCGTCCCCTTCTGCAGCATCCTCTCGACCACCTGATGAATGCGATGACACACAGCACCCATGGCAGTAGGAACAGATGAGCGTAAACGCGCGCAAGCGCATGCGCACGAGATTGTTTTTGATTGCTTCAGGTAACGGTCGCTACCGTTGGGGACGGTTGGGGCCCTAGGTAACAATAACGCTTGGGCGCGGCGGGTCGGGGCGGGGGTGGGCTGCGACCGCCGTAGTACGCGCGCGAGCACCAACACGGGGGGGAGAGGGAGGGGTGTTTGGCCGGGACAACGACCCCTCGTTACGCGCCAAAGGAGCAAACAATTTCCGTGCACCGTCCAAATGCACATGCACGCGCACGCGCGCGGATCCGCATAGCTGGGGAGCGGAGAGGCCTTTCGCAGAGCAGCACGCAAGGCACTCGGCGCGGCCCCTCGCGAGAGTCAGACCGGGCGGGGCGGCAACGCGGGGCGAGCGGAGGGGCGAGGAAGCGGGACACACGCGCGCGCGTACGGACACGTCCTCGCTCGCGCGCGCCCGGACGTACAGACGAGGCCAGACGCGCACGTAGGCGCACAGGCGTGAGCGCGCGCGCGCTTGCACCAGCGGGCTTCCTGCGCGCAGGCGCAGGGAGGGCGAGCAATCCTCCTCCTCCTCCTCCTCCTCCTCCTCCTCCTCTCTCATCCTCTGCTGCCTCTCCTGCTCCTCCTCCTCCTCGCTCTCTCCTACTCCTTCCTCCACCTCCACCCTCCACCCTCCACCGCCACCAGCCTCCTCCGTCATCCTCCTCATCTCTCCTCCTCTCTCACTCCCTCTCCCCCCCCTCCTCCCTCCGTCCCTCCCTCCCTCCCTACCTCCCTCCCTCTTCTTCTCTCCCCGTCCTCACCCTCCCTCCCCCCCCCCCCTCTTCCTCCTTCCTTCTCCTCTCCTCCTTCCTCCTCCTCCTTCTCCTCCTGATCCCCTCCTCCTGCTCCTCCTCCTCCTCCTCCTACTCCTCCTCTCATCCACATCTCCTTACACCTCCTCCTCCTCCTCCTCCTCGATGGGAAGCGTTCAGGGGGGAACATCGGCTCAGAGGGGGGGGGGGACATGGAGCTGGAATCGGCGCTGCATCGTCGAGAGATCGGCGATAGGCCCCCGATCGCGAGTCCGCCCGCTCCTGGAGCGGGGGCGGGGCGGACCATCGGGCCCCCTATGGGCGATGAATGGGCGATCGGGGGTCACTGCGTCAACCCTGAGCCAAACTATCCCCCCCTAACGTTGCCACTGAACCTACGCGTCTGGATACATTATCTATCGTATCTGATGGAGGCTCCGCGCACAGTCAATGCCCATTTCGCTTTCTAAGCGCCTCCGCCCAGTCTCCCACGCAGACGCAAGACATTCCCACGAACACGGGCGGAATCGTGGTGGTGCCAGCGGAAAAAGCAACATCAGATGCCGATTACCTGCTTAACACCCCGCCCAACGAAGATCCACTCCTCCTCCCGGCCCCTCCCGCTCCCCTCCAACCTCCCATTTATCCCCGTCCCCTTCGCATTCCTCATGCACCCCCCCCCCCGAGACAAGTTTGGGTGACACAAAAGGGGGTCCAGCCGAAAAGGGGTGGTGCGATAGATTTCGGGCAATTTTATTGCAAATGTACTGCGCCGGAGAATTGCGTTGCATGGTATTGCAAGTAATGCGTTGCACGCGAAAATCCAGCCATACATGTGCGCCCTGGGACGAATTGCACGCCCCAAGTGTATTGCAGCCCCACAAATCGATTGCACCCTGTGTATATATATGTATATATATATATATATATATTGCACCACCCCCTTGTCGCTGGACCCCCTTCCGGGTCAACCCGAACAAGGTACAGAGACAATCTCAGAGCAAGTGCAGCAGAAATCGGGGCAACAATCCCTCCCCCCTCCCCGTTCCACCCCTCCCCTGCCCCCTCCCCTGCCCCCTCCCACCACGGGCCCGGGCGCCTCCAGACTGGCCGTGTCCCCGCCCTGGTCAGACCGGGGCGTCTCCATGCCCTGCAGCACCTTCCGGCGCGCTCGCAGTGATGCTGATTGGCCATCTGAAAGGGCGGCCTCGGCAACCCTCCTGGTCCTCGAACTCCGCCTCCTCCGCCTACTCCTGTCCTCCTCCATCCTCTCTTCCATTGCACACAACTCCTCCCTGTCGCACCCCGAGACGTGTCGGCGGGGCGGGCCAGGCGCTTCGCCTGAGACTCCCTCACCGCTCATGAGCCTAAAAGCCCAACAGCCCTCTGGGCGTAGGTGGTCCAGGGTGCTTCCTCTTCCACCCCTCCCTCTTCCTCTTCGGGGAGGCGGCAGGAATAGGGCGCAGCTCATGTCGCGCGCTGAACTTCTAGCCGCCCGCGATAGAAGGTGAGCGACAGGCGTCGGACGCGACGCACTTGCTTCTTAGTTGTGGGAGGGCGGGTGGGAGTGGACGGAGCCCTCTGGCTCGTTCGAGCTGGCTAACTTGACCCCTCCCCCTACCCGCTCCCCCTGGACCTGGACGGGGCGTTTCGCGAGCGGTCGGGGCGTCCAAGAGGGCCTCGGAGAGCCCAAGACGACCTCCGAAATGGATCAAGGTAGTGTAAGATCGCTCAAGATAGCTTCCAAGATGCTCCAAGAGGCCCCAAGAACACTCCAAGACGTCTCCAAGAAGCCTCCGAGACCTCCAAAGAAGCCCCGTAGATGCCAACACATGTCCAAAACCTAAAGAAAATCAATGTTTTTTGCTGTCTCGACTTTCCGCTTCCGATGGCCATCCGAGGCCTCAAGATGGCCCCAACATGGCCCAAGAGGGCTCGAAGAGAGGCCCAAGAGAGCTCCAAGACGGCCCCAAGAACGCCCAAGAGAGCTCCAAGAGCGCTCTAAGATGCGATTTTTGGGGCTCCCGAGGGGCGAGGCTAATTGAAGCTCCCATCTTTTTTGATCGATGTCCTCTGGATCTCCTCCACGATGGCCCTAAGAGCGCCCCGAAAGCCTCCAAGAGCGCCCCAAGAGGGCCTCAAAAGGCGCCCAGACGGCCCCAAGAAGCGCCCAAGACGCCTCCAATAGGCTCCCAAGAGACACCACCACCAGCAGTACCAGCAGCAGCAACAGCACCAACAGCAGCACCCGAACCATTCGCTACCAGAAATCTCCCAATTCACCGTTGTTGCCCACGCTTTCACTATGTGCGTCTCTTCCTCCCTTCTCCCGTCAGCTCTCCTGGGCATCGTTTCTGGATGGGCTGGTGGGGATACTTTCTTGTCGCGGCCGCAGGAGAGCGCGCCAGCAGCGTCAAGAATCGGGCGGGCTACGCGCGAAATTAATTGCCTAACGCGCCGACAACCGGCGGCCTAAGCAGCACCTAAGAAGACCGGACTGCGCGGAACTGGTGGGGATTTTTTGGTTCGCGGCTCCAAGGCGAGGGACAAGGAGCGGGCACAACGTCCGGGGCGCGGTACGATGTAAATTGGCCGCAGTGGCGTAACTGGTGGGGATACGCGAAGCTTCAACAAATTGCATCAGTTTCACGGATGAAGGCGGCTCGCTTTTTAAATGTGGCTCTCGCCTTAGCGCCGCGCGCATTCGTCTTAAAAGCTCGCAAACGTTTCATGGATGGAGGGCGGGTGGTTTTCAAAATGTGGCTATCGCCTGGGAGCCACGCACATTCGGCTTGAAAGTTTGCAAGAGCTTCACGGATGGAGGGCAGCCTCTTCATACAATGTGGCTCTCGCCACTGATTCTTATGGTTGACGTTACAGAAATTGTGTTTAGGCACGATGTAGTGCTGTCAGGGCGCAACAAGCACGTGGATTCGCGGTGTTTAAGTCCCAGGAATGCCGTTCTGGCACGATTCAGGATCGTCAGGGCGCGACAGTAACATTGACTCGAGGCGTTGAAGTCGCAGGAATGGTGTCCTCACACGGCTCAGGATTTCCAAGCGTTTGTCCTCCGACGGGGCACATCCCTCGGTGAGGATTAACCCTTGTAGGGACTCATGAAGCAGAAGCTTTGGAGGGTTGATTGCAACATCGTTGATGAGTCTTGGGTCTACACGTCTACACTGGTCCTCCTCCTCCTCCTCCTCGACTTCCATTTTCCAATGCCTCTGGACATATGCTGTCTGACTCAGCGTTGACCGATCATGCAAGGATAACGTGTGGCCGACGCCAACGTCAATCGCGATGCAAGCAATAACAACTCAAATGGACGCAGATAGCCAGATACATGAGTCAGCACATATTATACGATACGCAAGCGACTGGTTGAAGGCAAGCGAAGAACAAGCCGCACAAGCATAACAACTGTCCAGCGCCGATCCAAAACAGCCGCGCGGACCTCCGACAATATTTGTTCATGCCGTCTTTTGTTTTGAGGAGGGGAGAGGAAACGGGAGGAGAAAGACGATACAGTCGGGGCGTTGACCTAAGGAACCCTAAATAAGGAACGAGGCCCCTTTTTTCCAAAGGTTAAACTTCGATTCCCCATCGGAAACCTAAGGACAACCTGAGGCGAGCTGCGAAACAATAAAGGAACACGGAGCCCCTCCCCAACGAAAAGGGTTCCTTGTTCAGCGACCCGACTGTAGGTAGGGGAACGACACATGGCATAAACATGAAAGCTCGGAGCTCCGCGCGGATTCCTTGGATCCGCGCTGGAGTCTTCTCCCTGGCGCGCGGATCGCGCCAGGGGCGGCGCCGGAGGCGCCGCCGGGGGGCCCAGCGCAGATCCAAGAGATCCGCGCGAGCCTCCGAGCTGTTATGCTTATGCCACTGCTCGTTCCCCTAATAGGGGGTGCTGGGGCTCCCAAAACGGTGCGGTGACTGACCGCGCGGTGACCTCGGCATCCCCCAAAACGACCTCACCGCACGGCCCGTCACCCCACCGGCTCTGGGGCCCCCTGGAGAGGCCCCCAGGGGCCCGAAACGTCTCCAGAGAACGACCCGAGCCGCAAACCCTCCTGACTGCGAGGCGCGGATTTATCCATATCCACCGCTTGGGAACCGACGCCCTGGTGCCCCAGCGGGCGGTGGATATGGATATATTGCGGCCCCCGGGGGCCCGAATATGTCCATATCCACCGCCTGTGCCGAGGCTCCGAAAACTGACCCTTGAGGCGGTGGATATGGATAAATTCCCGCCTCGGACTGATTCCCCGCACGGCGCGGTCACCACGTCGATATTGGGCAAGCGCGTCCCACTGTACTCGCAAGCGGCCTGGATCCGCTGGGGGGGGATCTGCGATCACGTCGAAGCCGACGCTTGTCTAGTTGGGACTTTTTTACCTGACAGCTTTTGCTGATGGGTTTCTAGTGGGGTCAAAAGAGAGCAGCAGATGACTCCACAGGGGGGTCGGGGCGGCATCCGGGGAGCTGTGTCCGAACTCGTGTCCGAACTCGTTTTTCGCAAACAGTCACACACTTCGTGCTCTTCGACCTCCCAGAACTCCATTCCCGGGCCACATTTTGAATGCCCGGAGCCAACTGTAGGCCACTTCGTGTTCTTCGAGTTCCCAGAACTCCATTCCCGGGCCACATTTTGAATGCTGAGGCAGGCTGATGCTGAGGCTGGGGCAGGCTGAGGCTGAGGCCGAGGCTGAAGGCACTGACTGAGGCTGAGGCTGAAGGCTGAGGCTGAGGCAGGCTGATGCTGCGGCAGGCTGAGGCTGAGGCTGAGGCTGATGCAGGCTGAGGCTGAGGCAGGCTGAGGCTGAACTGAAGCAGGCTGAGCTGAGGCTGAGCTGAGGCAGTCTGAGGATGAGGATGATCGGCCGGCTGAGTGCTGAGCTGCTAGTCCCAGAACCCATTCCCGGGCCACATTTTAGAATGTGAGGTAGGCTGAGGCTGAGGCTGAAGCAGGCTGATGCTGAGGCAGGCTGAGGCTGAGCTGAGGCTGAGCTGAGGCTGATGCAGGCTGAGGCTGAGGCAGGCTGAGGCTGAGGCCGAGGCTGAAGGCAGACTGAGGCTGAGGCTGAAGCAGGCTGAGGCTGAGGCAGAGGCAGGCTGAGGCTGAGGCAGGCTGATTCTGAGGCAGGCTGAGGCTGAGGCTGAGGCTGATGCAGGCTGAGGCTGAGGCAGGCTGAGGCTGAGGCCGAGGCTGAAGGCAGACTGAGGCCGAGGCTGAAGCAGGCGGAGGCTGAGGCTGAGGCAGGCTGAGGCTGAGGCTGAGGCAGGCTGAGGCTGAGGCAGGCTGAGGCTGAGGCAGGCTGAGGCTGAGGCTGAGGCTGATGCAGGCTGAGGCTGAGGCAGGCTGAGGCGGAGGCCGAGGCTGAAGGCAGACTGAGGCTGAGGCTGAAGCAGGCTGAGGCTGAGGCTGAGGCAGGCTGAGGCTGAGGCTGAGGCAGGGTGAGGCTGAGGCTGAGGCAGGCTGATGCTGAGGCAGGCTGAGGCTGAGGCTGAGGCTGATGCAGGCTGAGGCTGAGGCAGGCTGAGGCTGAGGCCGAGGCTGAAGGCAGACTGAGGCTGAGGCTGAAGCAGGCTGAGGCTGAGGCCGAGGCAGGCTGATGCTGAGGCTGAGGGAGCTGAGGCTTGAGGCCGAGGCCGACGGCAGGCTGAGGCTGAGGCTGAAGCAGGCTGAGGCTGAGGCCGAGGCAGGCTGAGGCTGAGGCTGAGGCAGGCTGATGCTGAGGCAGGCTGAGGCTGAGGCTGAGGCTCATGCAGGGTGAGGCTGAGGCAGGCGGAGGCTGAGGCCGAGGCTGAAGGCAGACTGATGCTGAGGCTGAAGCAGGCTGAGGCTGAGGCTGAGGCAGCTGAGGCTGAGGCAGGCTGAGGCTGAGGCTGTGACTGCGACTGCCGTTGCCACTGCGACTGTCATCGCGAATGCGACTACGACTGCGAGAACAGCAGAATTCTACAACGGGCTTCTCATCTGAATCTTAAGGGGAATGCTTCCAGATATGCTCCTACACATCGCTGTTAGGTTGCTTTGCCGGGATAATTTGCGAGTAGGCACTTCTGCGAGTACTTAATGCAAGGCGCTCGATGAGCCATGGGGCCCCCAGAGAGGCCCCAGTGTTAGGTTGGGTATGTCCCCCTACAAGCTGATTTTTCAGCGAAAAATGCAAGATACCCAAACATGGTAAAACATACTCCAAAAATAATAGAAAAATCGTTCGCATAATATGTTTTGACAATTTTTGAATATTCCTCCTGCAGAGGGACTCGGACACGCCCGACCTAACCCTTGTTTTTGGGGGACCTTTTGCGAGTAGGCACTTTGCGAGTAATGGAACGCGCTCGGGTGAGCTGTGGGGTCCCAGAAAGGCCCCCGTTGCCGGAGACATCCCCCAGGGAGGACGGCGCACGCCCCGACCCGCACTGACCGGCTCCCCGCACGGGCGTGGTCACCGCACCCGCTGGGCTTTGGGCGGGGCCCGACGTACACACCACGCCGACTGGTCGGCCAAGGAGCTCAGCGTACAAGCAGACGCCCCAGCTGCCCAGCCCATGTGGCGCTGGCGCGCCTTACACTTAGGTCGGGCGTGTCCCCCTACAAGTCGATTTTGGGAGGAAAATGAAACATAGACAAAATGACACCGGAGAAAACCCCAATCAGATTTGTGTTGGGGCTATGGGGCTGTAGGGCTATAAAGCTATACGGTTATGAGGCTATAGGGGTATAGGGCTATCGGGCTATTGGGCTATAAGGCTATAGGGATATAAGGCTGTAGAGCTATAGGCTATAGCTATAGGCTATGGGGCTATAAGGCTATGGGGCTATGGGGCTATGGGGCTATAGGGCTATGTGGGCTATAAAACTATAAGGCTATAGGGCTATAGGGCTATATGGTATTGGGATATGGGGCACCCCGGGCACCCGGGCACCCCGGCCCGGCCACCGAAATCGGCCACGCACCTCACCGGCCACCCGGGCACCCGGGCACCGCCGGGCACCCGGGCACCCGGGCCCGGCCACCGAAATCGGCCGCACCTCTCACCTAAACCTTTAATCCGCTAGGACCCCTACAGAGGCAAGCTCTGATTGGGGAACATGCTCCAGCATCATCAAAAATTGTGAACAAATAGTCCACTGACATCTTTTTGACTATTTTTGAATTTTCCTACTGTAGAAGGACATGCCCGACTTAACCTCACAGACCGACCGAACTCCTTGGTTCCCCAGCGGAACGAACGACGCGGAGTGCAGATCGAGCCCCTCCGACGGGGTCCTCCGAGTGTGGGCGAGGACGAGACGAGAGAGGGGGACCTCAGCCCACCTTCCCGCGGGGGCGGGGAGCCAGAGCGAGCCAGGGAGAGGAACGGGAAAGAACTCGCCATTCGCGCGGACGTCCATTTCCCGTGCACTGTTCGGTGTCGTGCGCTTTTGCTCCTCGCAAGCTGCTGCAAGATGCTCCTCGCCGGGAAAAGAAGGCACGCGTCCGAACGATGCCCCGAAAATTTATGTTGCATCCTCGGGGGACCTTGGCTGTCCCGTCGCGGCCCCATCCGCGTCGAATCCGTGTCGAATCCATGTCGGCCTCGTCGGATCCGTGTCGACTCCTTGTCGAATCCGCGTCGAATCCACACCAAGTCCGCGTCGAGCCCGCACTGCGCCCGCGTCGGGCACAAGAAAAGACACGCGTTTTGGGGACAGGCGAGGTCCCCCGAGGATGCAACGTAGAGGAGGACAGGGGAGGGTGGCGATCGGTTTCTGGCGGTCCGGGGGCCCAGCGATGGCCTCTGGACTCCAGAGGCCATCGCTGGGCACCAGAGTCTGGAGGCCGAGCAGGGCGAAAAACCCCCGTCTTGACTTGTCCAACGCGCTGGACCTACGGGGAGGGAGGAGGGGACATGCGGGACGAGACCCCCCACCCCCAGAGTAGAGGCCTCCTAGACGGGGTCGGAGAAGATGGGGTCGGAGGATCGCGCCGTATCGCCGATACATCGGCGATGTATCGGCGATGTATCGGCGATGCACCGGCGATGCAACGTCGACATCGGCGGTGCATCGTCGGAGTCGACGTGGAGCAAGTCGGGCTCCGCATCGAGCTGCATCGCCGATGCCTCGGCGATGCGGCGCGATCCTCAGACCCCATCTGCTCCGACCCCACCTGGGAGGCCCAGACAGAGCGAGGGCGCGGAGTCGGCGCGAGAGCGAAGGAGGGCAAGGGCAGCGCGCGCGGGCGGCCGGCGGCGGCCTTGGGCACCCGCGCGGGCGGCTGGAAGCCGCCGGCCCCGGACGGCGCGGGGAAGGCGAGGATCCTGCCCGACTCACAGCCTCCAGGGAGAGGGAGAGGAGGAGGAGGAGGAGGAGGAGGAGGAGGAGGAGGAGGAGGAGGAGGAGGAGGAGGAGGAGGAGGGAGGAGGAGGAGGAGGAGGAGAGGAGGGGAGGAGGAGGAGAGGAGGAGGAAAGGAGAGAAGGAGGAGGAGGAGGAGGAGGAGGCAGGAGGAGGAGGAGGAGGAGGAGGAGGAGGAGGAGGAAGGAGAGGAGGAGGAGGAGGAGGAGGAGGAGGGAGGAGGAGGAGGAGGAGGAGGAGGAGGAGGAGGAGGAGGAGGAGGAAGGCGAGGATCCGGGGCAGCTCCGATGCGGCCTTCGCGCCCTCGCGCCGCTCCCTCGGAGCGCGGAGGGCAGCTGCCGCGGCGTGCCGCGCGCGATCGCCCCCGCGCCCGGCGCCGGCCCGGAGCCCCTCGACGGCGCCGCCGCGCCGAGCGCGCTCGCGACTGCCTGGGCCCCCCAGGGACGGCCCCGTAAGACGCTCGGCCGTCGGCCGACGCGGCGCGGGACGCCGGCGGAGGACGGAGGGCGGGCGAGGGCGGAGGGCGGAGGAGGCGGACGGCGGACGGACGAGGACGGGGGTTTGCAGAGGACGAGGACGGGGACGGAGGATGACGCTGGACGAGGACGGAGGAGGGGCGAGGACTCTGACACCGGCGGCCCGAGACGCCCACGGTCGGGGCGAGGCCTCTATGCCGATGGCCTCCGCGACCAGGGGCACGAAGAGCAGAGCGAACAGGACGAAAGAGTGGACGCGTGCAGTCGCGCAGAAGCAGGCGAAGTCTCAGGAGGAGGGGGGGGAGGAGCAGAGAAAGAGGAGGCAGAGCAGGACGAGGAACGCGAGGAAGCGGGGGGGGGGCGGATGCGAAAGGAGAGGAACGTGCGGGGCGGCAGCCTGCCAAGACAGAGCGCGTCAGGTCGTTGTAGGCGAGGCACCTGAACTCCTCGGGCTGCTCGTACGACTGGAGCTGATTGACGCCGTCTTGCCCGACCCACGGGTCCCAAAATCCGCCTGCCTCGCTCATGGTGGAGGAGAGTTCGAGGCTGCTCGTGCGATCTGGAGTTGCTGCTACCAGATCGCTGTGGCAAGACGCGACGGCGCTTGCTCGCCTACGTCGGGGCAACTAGGAGGAGAAGGAGGAGGAGCAGGAGCAGGAGCAGCAGGAGGTAAGAGGAGGAGGGAAGAGGAGGAGGAGGAGGAGGAGGAGGAGGAGGAGGAGGAGGAGGAGAAGGAGGAGAAGGAGGAGGAGGAGGAGGATGGAGGGGCGAGGTAGGATAATGATGGCGGGGGAGGGAGAATGAAGGGCAGGGCAGGGAGGGTATGGAGGGGAGGGGAGAGGGAGAGACGGGGAAGGGCCACCCCGTATTTCTATTCCCCTTCCTCCTTCTCTTCCTCATCCCCCTCCTCCTCCTCCTCCTCCTCGTCCTTCTCCTCGCCCTCCTCCTCTTCAGCCGCCGTTTCCTCTTCATGCCACTTCCGCAAGCGGCCGCACCAGGCACTACCCGCAGAGCTGTTCCGCCAGAGAGGGCATTTCCATGTCACTGCCAACTCGGCTGGCCTTCTCGTTCATATTTCCATGGATGGCATTCTCAGATGGGGCGTCTACAGCGCGATGTCATTGGTGGCCCCGTTCAGCTTCTCGGAAGTGTCCACGAAGCTCGGGGCGCTGGACGTACTGATGCTAGCAGCGACGCGGTGGAGACAGCACAACAACACCAGCGAGGTTGACCAGCTAAAAAACAGCACGCACCATGTGCTCACCTTGGGATACGGACGAGGCCCTCTTGCCAAAAGTCACGCTGGAGTGGCCATCATGATCAGCAAGCGTCTCCCCGAGAAGAGCATCTTAGACGCACAATCCCCACCACGGGTTGTACAAGGGCGCGCAGGAGCAGTACGTATCCGTACAGTCGGGGCGTTGACCTAAGGAACCCTAAATAAGGAACGAGGCCCCTTTTATTCCATAAGTTAAACTTCGATGTCCTATCGAAAGCATAAGGAAAACCTGAGGCAAGCTGTGAAACACTTAAGGAACGCGGAGCCCCTCCCCAACCAAAAGGGTTCCTTCTTCGGGGCCCCGACTGTAGAGGCACGTTCGATCTCAAATTAATCGTGCCACACTTACCCCCTCGCAGGGGAGCGGCAGCAGAGCAAACTCAGTGGGTCAAGACAGTGAACGAGACCTTGAAGTGGATGAACACCATTAGAACAGAGCTAGGATCGGGATAAATTGCTCCAGAGCGTTCCGGAGCGCTCTCAGAGCGTTCCGGAACGCTCTGGAGCGGCCGCGGCGCCCAATACATCCTCCAAGCCCGCCGATTCTCAGAGATTTCGAGTTATCCCGATCCGATGTTGTCCCGATCTTCGCGTCGTTTTAACTATTCTCCCAGGGACGCCTACAAGCAGTACCCCCGTCATCGGCATCGACCTAAACGACCACTGTGTCAAGGACGGTATGCTCCCAGCGGACAGCAACAACGTCTCCGGCAGCGCAGGGCCTGCAGGAGCACCCCGCGAAGCAGCAGCAGCCTTCCACAACGTGCCCAACGTGCACGGGATGCGTCCCCCCGCCACGTTCTGGGACGCGGGCCCCGCCTGCTTCGGAGGTGAAGGACAGGCCACCAGGCCAGACTACATAGCAGCACTCCAAGGACGACGGCAACAGCATCACACAGTGCAAAGCACAGGGCAAGGTTTAATGCATCGGATGTTAAAAAAACACCGGATGTTTAATACATGATCAATGTATGAATACATTGATGCAGGAACTCATCGTTAATTTAAATTCCAAATCCCTGCATGTTTTATACATGATCCGCACGCGAAGCATGTATTAAAAACGGCACGGTGTGGTGGAGGGCCGCAGAGCGCCTTCGACTCACCAGCGACCACAAGCCGAAGGACCACGTGCCGCCCGTCGCCTCGGCCAACATCACCACTCCCGGTTGCTCCACGGACCAGATTGGCGGCGCGCACAAGGGGGTGGAGGGAGGGGGGAGGGATCCTTAGAAGGAGGCTGCTTCTTAGAAGGCGCCGGCCTTACATCTATAGAGAAGGCCCGTGGCTTCTAAGGAGCAGGGGTGCTTCTAAGAAGCCCTCCCCCCTCCCCCCACCCCCCTCGGCGCGTGGCTGACCAGAGGCACACACAAACAGGTGCCTTTCGACAGGAGTTCACTACGAACCCGGAGGACAAGCCGAGCCTGAGGCAGGACGTCATCGAGCAGAGCGCCGAGCGGCACACCACCGACGAGCACCGGCAGCTTCTGCTCGACACCGTTGGGGTCGTAGCCAAACCCTTCCTGGAGCGCAAGGACGATGACCCTGCAGGGCGGCGTCACCTGCGACAGCGTGAACGCCTTCAGCTATGTACTGTAGCAGCGACCGGCACTACGGGAGCTATACATGGATGCATGCATACATGCATCCATACATACATACAACATCCATTCATACAAACAAACAAAGAAATCACACATACAGACATGAATGCATCATGTCATGCATGCATGCGTACATACATACATACATGCATACATGCACACATACATACATACATACATACATACATACATGCATGCATACATACATATATACATACATACATGCAGGCAGGCAGACATGCATGCATACATACATGCATACATACGTACATATACACATGCATAACAAACATACGTACATGCGTACATACATGCCTACGTACATATATACTTACATACATACATGCATATGTACATACGTACATACATACATATATACGCGCGTGCGTACACGCATACATACGTACATACATACGTACATACATACATACGCACATACATATATGCATGCATGCATGCATGCATGCATGCATCCATCCATACATACATACACACACGCATGTATAAGTACATACATACCTACCTACCTACCTACCTACCTACCTACCTACATATATACATATATACGTACATACATACACACATACATACATACATACATACACACATACATACGTACATGCATACCTACATAAATGCATCCGTTCATCCATACATGCAGGGCTACTGTGGCGCGCGCAAGCTGTGGTTCAGCATCGGTGCTAGGTATGGTTCCCAACATACATATCTATTTATATATATACTAGAACCATTCGCGCGCGCTACGCGCGCGCTCAGGTTCTAGTCCTGGACGTTTCGTGCGTGGCTTCGGGCTCCACAACGAAAGTCCAGAGCGAGCGGCCAACTGTGAATGGGTGCATATCGTCCGGCGTCACAAGCACGACGTAGATTGCTGATCATCCGCACGGGCTTTCCAACGTCGTAGATCTGAATACGCGCACCTGGCCCTCGCGGTCATGCACTCACATTTGCTTTCTTTACTTCGGTAGTTCCCATCATTCGTGCTCCCGTTCCCCAGGTTATCCACTTCTCGTCCAGTAATGTTTCCTTCTTCCAGCGCCACTAAAAAGACTTACGGCCAAAGGAAAACGTTGGGCTCTGAACCCTGGAGGGCCGTTTTCGGACCAGGCAGCTGGGACGATCTGTGTTTTTCTATGGCCCTAAGAAGCCTTACGGCCAGAGAAAAAACGCGGGGCGGCCCGGTAAGGGTTATTTTTTCCCGTGGCCCTAAAAAGCCTTGCGTCCGAAGGAAAACGTTGGGCTCGGAGGCCCAAGAGGGCCGCGATCTGTTTTTTTTTATGGCTCTAAGAAGCCTTACGGCGAGAGAACAAACGCTGGGCGGCCCGGTATGGTTTTTCCCGTGGCCCTAAGAGGCCTTACGGCCAAAGGAAAAAGTTGGGCTCCGTGGAGCCGCCGAAGCCCTGCGGAGGGCTGGGGTCCCGCCGACGGTCCGCCGAGGGTCCTTGCGGCGGCGGCGGCCGCGGCGAAAGTGGACACGTTGTCGCCAGCGGCAGCGGCGGCGCCGGGCTCGGCGGCGGCGGCGGCGACGCCGACGAGCGACCACGGCGACGACCGGCGCCGGCCGCCGGGGCTCGCCGGGGAGCCGCCGGAAGTCTCCCTCTGGCCGGAGGTGCGGCGGCGGCGGCGCGCCGCGGCGGCGGGGCCGCCGCCGGCGGGCCCGCCGGCGGCTCGCCGAGAGCGTGGCGGTGGCGGCGTCGGCGGCGGCGAAGCCGACGACGTCGTCGACGGCGACGACGACCACGAATCCCGACGTCGTGATTTTTTCAAAACGGAAGTTTTTCGGCGTGTTCGGCCTCTGGGGCTTCTTGGGGGGGGCCCGGGACAGTCAAAAAACGATTCATGATGATAAGCCGGTCCCCAGGAAAAGGTCGGGATTCAGGGGGCTGCGTACTGGAAAAAAACACGACATCGTTTTGGGGGGAAGGATACCAGAGGGAGGGGTTAGCGGATCGGCTCGTGCAGCTGCTTTTCCCAACGCCTCTCGGCGCCTGGGGAGAATGGACGGTACCAGAGGCGAGGGGGGACGACGAGCGGGGAAGAACAGGAGGACAATAGAGCCTGGGGGGGGTGGAAGGCAGGGACTTCCCACGTCTTTCTTGCCTCGCGGGCCGCATTGCGAGCGGCGGCCGTCCGACGACCGAGGACTCAGACCGCATCTGGGAAAGCGGGAGGGGAAGGGGCGAGGGAAATGATATGATTATTGTAGCCGTCGCTCTGGTAGGTGTCAGCCGAACGCCACGATCCCACGCGCAAGATAGAACTCTTTGGGCAATCATTCATCGTGTTTGCCTGGGCGCGTATGTAGGCAACAACATCGTGTTGCCGCGGCGTGGCATTTAAATTACTGTGGCACTGTGTCAACATAGTGTTGCTCGTCGTGGCATCATAGTGTCGCCGCGACGAGCACTGTAGAGTGTGAGAGCTTGTGGCACACACAGCTGAATGGAGCACCTGGTTCAACACCCGCACAATTCGTAGCAACTCTGCCAGGAAGCACGTTGTCTGAGGCCAGACAGACAGACAGAGATTGGGCAGGATTATATACATACATGATACTGGGCAAAACCCGAATGCAATTTATCGGGGGGGGGCTATGAGGTCAGGGATATAGAGCTATGGGACTATAGGGCCATAAGGCTTTAAGGATATAGGGGGCAGTTGGGTTATAGGGCTGTAGGGCTATTCGACTATAGGGCTGCAAAGCTATTAGGCTATAGGGCTGTTGGGCCATCGGGCTGCAGGGCTATAGAACTATAGG